CCCCAAAACCCCAAAACCCCAAAACCCCAAAATATATTCAACATATTGAAATGATGTCTGTTAAAATCCTTTCTTCTTCCTAAACTGCTTTATTTTGCCTAGTATTCGGAAATGATCGACATCTGTGAGTCTGACTGGGCTCCTAGAGAGATGACAAAATATGAGTACTTTTTCTTAAACAGAGCTCCACTCTTAATCTTTAAGACCTTTAAAGAATCGCCTATGTATGAGCAAGGATGGACTACTCTTCCTAATATTGTTTTGTTTAAGTCTTCAGTCGAGATAGGTCTTGTTCTTGCGGATATTTCCCTTGGGCAACAAAGATATCCTTTGCTTCAACCCTCTATGTAGACTTGTAGAAGACTCTGTGTATGAGTCATCTACAGTCAGAGTTACGTCTTTTGATAAAGATACTGGAGTGCTGAATTTTTGCACTAGATGAATCATTATCGGTTTCTTACTGGAATTTGTATCAGAATAATCAGAAATCTGATCATTCTCATAAATGCTTTCTTGCTGAGGCTTATAAGTTTCTTTCAGAAAACAATCAATGAGCTTCACTTTGTTATTCATGCTTAAATTAGAGTAGCTTGGGCCAAGGCTTCGGAGCTTAAATTTTGGGTGGAAGCAATCTATAAAAGAATTGCAATCAGAATTTAATAAGTAAAGAATTCTACTGCTTAAAGAATAATTTTAGAATCACCTCTGGTCTCACCATACTGGCCTTTATCTTGTATTTGTTTGAGAGGATTAGTTCAATGAGTCTCAAGGACCTTCTTTAATCTCTCAATATCGTCCTTGAGACTAATCTCATGACTTTTATGCTCCTGTGAAAACTCATCATTCTGCAATTCTGTAGCTTTTGAGAAGTATTTTTCCTTGAAAAGCTGTATCTCCTTCTGCTTCTCAACCAAATTGGCAATTTTTAACCTGAGGTAGTTTGTCTTACTATCAAATGAGTTATTTAATGTAATGGCTAATCGTTTCAGAGTTGAACAAGTCATTTCCATCTTTGATGACTAAGTTCTTGAAAGGATTTCTTCTCTTTCTTACAAAGTCTACTGAGTTCCGTGCATGTCTGCTATGTAGTCTTACTTTGAGAGGATAGTTTTTATGATTATGAACTGAATTTCTTTTGGTGAATTTAGACATATTTGTTCTGGTTAATATCCTCTATGTTATTCTTCAACAATTTATACAGTAATTGGGGTTTTGGGGTTTTGGGGTTTTGGGGTTTTGGGG